GATATTACTGTGTTCATTCACACCCACTACCCTATGAAACTCTACTCAATTAAGTTCTGTTCACTTTGATTTCTTAATCTAAAATAAGTTCAATAAAGCCTTACTACCTGGAGCGAAGGGGTGTCAATCCAATAATCCCCAGATCCGTTTTCTATAAAACTATGTTGGTGCCTGTGGATAATGAGGGGACACTGAAACCCTTTAAGTCTGCTCAGTACTATGGTGTAGAGGGACTAACGACCCCTTCCAGCTTGTATTTTTGCCCAAGTCTATGGAGGTGCCTGAAAACTTACTCTGGAAATCAGTCCTAAGATATATATGTATCTGAGCAAACGAAACATCCTCAAAGAGAAGGAAAACACCAGGTGTGCAAAACTCCACCTCTAGTCTGGCGTTCTCTGAAACTGGTGTGTGTAATGATCCCTTCTTTCCACGATCTCAAAGAAGGCAGATTTTTATCAATAGGCATTTTCTCTAGAGCGGAAGCTTATTCAGAATGACACCATCAGATCTCCCCTTGCCCCTTTATTTTGCCCCGATGTTCACTTGGATTCTGTTGTTTTGCTCTGCTGGAGACTGAGCCCAAAGCCTTGTGTGCGCTAGGCACACATCCCACTGACTGAGCTGAAGTCCCTGGCACCACACCTTTTCCATTTAGGTCATTTAGTCATCCCAAAATGTCAGTCAGGGTCACCCAGAAAGGCTCCGTTTCAATTATGGTTTGTTCTTTTTGTTCTTTCCTATAAGGTTTGTAGGAATACACACCCTCTTTGGTTATGTTTCCCTTTTTGCAATCATACAGTATTTTAAAAATGCATTATTGCAAACAGAATTTCTCCGACCTTTGGGTTTGACAGGAAGCCATTCCCAAGAGGTCACTAGGCAGCTAAGACTCCCTCACCCCATATCCTCAGGTCTCTGGGTCTGTAGTTTATAATCAGAATAGTGTTTTATCCAATCAGTGCTGGGTTTCTTTGCTTTTGCTTTTTTGCACAAAATGGGCAGTGGAAACCAAACTGATAGACGCTAGACCTTTGCAGAAATAAAGATCCTTGGGAATCTTGGCTGAATGACTCTGACCAAGAAGGGAGGTTGCATTCCAAAATCGTGCTATACCAGGTCCGTGTATTTGACTGCAACACCAAAGCGGAAAAGGAGTCCCTTCTGCCACCAGGATTTATAACTCACCGAGGAAGTCACTGCTGCTGAACAGAAAGAGACCTAAGGTTGGCTCTCAGCTCAGACAGTAATCACAGGCACACGGCTGGGGCTGTTTATTCTGCTGCCCTACAGTAGGTGGACTCGGGGCGTGGTGGGCGTGCTTGTTTAAGTACTTGTTTGCAGAACACCCAGGCTGGGCAGAGCTAAAACACCAGTAATCTGAAACCAGTCTAGTTGGTTTTCCTTCCCAGCAGTCAGAGAAAATCTGCATTCCAGATGAAACCTGCCAGCTAGCTGAAGGAAAGCATTTAAAAACAAAAGACATTCCAGGGGTAGTAAATTAACTACTTCTGAGAGTTCCGGGCACTTTGAGAGGATCTTTTTCTTTACTTTCTGACTTTGATTAGGGTTTTGCAGGAGGCTGTGGATGTGGGCGAAATGCTGGGTGTGGGGCCTGGCTGGGAAAGAGGACTCACTTCAGAAATCCTTTGGTCGTTTTCTGCTGATTCACTTTGGAATCTCTTGGGCTGCACCAGGGGGTGGGTCAGGGCTGTCAGGACCAGCTTGCCGGCTCAGCACTTTTAGGAACCTCAACTTGCTCACCAATGAGGAAGTTGAATGTGACCAGGAGACTCGTAGGCACGGGGCGGAGCTCCTCCTGAAGTCCTGGGCAGGGATTACGGGACAGGCTGACTTTGCCGCGACAAAAAAGCCTTTTGTCCCGGGGAGTAAATACGGAAGTCCAGAAGAGCAGCCTACCTGCCCATGTGTAGTAAGGTGTGCAGCCCTAGCTGCTTTGGGGCATAGAATTGCCCAGAGTTAACAAGTTGCTCTGGGCACGCCGGCCGGCATCGAACAGACCGGAAGCGAGGACTCTGTGACCTGAAAGAGACCAAGTGTGTTTTCTGAGCTGCTGAAAGCCTGGCTGTCTCCCCGGTGCTGTAGCTCTCTGTCCTGTAAGTCAAGAGCAGATGGAGCGGATAAACTGAGCGAGCAGAGCAGGTAACACAAGGTAGAACTTCTGTCAAGGCCACTGCGGGGACATGGAGGAGGCTGGTAACTCTCTCAATAGCAGAGATGAGCTGGAACCAAACAAATCCGAAGCCGGACTTGAGATGGCTCAGTCGATCCTGAGTAAATTCTCTATGAAATCCCTGTTTGGATTTACAAGTAAATTGGACTCCTTGGATCCCGAAGAGGAAGATGCTGTGCTGAAGGCATTTCGCAGTTTAGAGGTGGATCCCGCTCCTGAGAGAGACGATCCCAGCGAAGGCTCAGATCAGTCACAGGCAGAAGCTCCCGTTCCACCTGATCTTGAAAATGATGGGAACTCAGCAAGGGCGGAGACAGGATCCGAGGGAAGTCAGGGGAAAGTCAGATCGAGCACCTCTTCCCATGGTCATGAGCTGCATTCACCGGCCTCTGTGAGTGTGGATAGCGAGGATGTCCTTTGGGTCCGTGGGACCCTGGTTCACACCACAAGTGATTCTGACTCTGAAGATGGTGGCCAAGAGGCAGAAGAAGGAAGTGGCCTTGATACGCGGGAGTCCACCACTGTTGTTTTATCTGAACCATCTCAAGAGCCCCAAAAAAGCCTGGAAGATTCGGGAGAAAATGACCACACTGGGGAAACTGATAATGCAGAACTCCGCGGTGATTCTCAGAGAACTTTACCTGAGACGAGTAGCAAAGTGGACCCCGGAGGTGGTGATAGCCACAGACAGGGCCAGGCTGCGGAAGAAAGGTCCCAAACGCCACCCGCAGCAACAGACCAGACTGTTGTTGTTGCTGAGGGTACTGTTTGTAAAAGAGAGAGAGACACTCAGGGGGAGAAGTCGTTCCAGCTTCCAGCTTTCTTTAGTGGGCTCCGTGTGCTGAAGAAGGGGGCTACAGCGGAGGCCGGGGAGACCATTACGGAAATCAAACCCAAGGATGGGGACTTGGCTTTGCTCAAGTTGACCCAGCCTGTTCAAAAGTCTCTGGTGCAGGGAGGCCCACAGACAGTGAAGAGCCAGGGTAGAGCAACTGATCCGAAGGCCACGCCCACTCTCCTGGAGCAGCTCTCTCAGCTGCTCAACATTGACATGCCAAGGACTGAAGTGAAGGAAGCAGACCCCGAACTCCCTGGGGCAGACGAGATGGGCTATAGTACTGAGCAGGAGAGCCAGAAGAGTTCTGGAGATGCCCAAGTTCAGGATGGCCAGGTGAAGTCGAAGCCACCAGAGACTGCCCTGGAGGCCTTTAAGGCCTTATTCATCCGTCCCCCTAAAAAAGGGACCACCGCTGACACCTCCGAGCTGGAAGCTCTCAAGCGAAAGATGAGGAATGAGAAGGAATCACTGCGTGCTGTGTTCGAAAGGTCCAAGTCAAGGCCGGCAGACAGCCCCATTGACCCTAAAAGCGTACGTAGAATTGGGTTCTGCATTTTGACATAAAATATCATGCTGTAATTTTTTTTTTTGCATTCCAGGTTTTCTGTTAAGATGAACCCTAGTTGCCCGATCTTATTAGTATTTTAGGTAAACAGAAATTAATGTATTAAATTTGTCTTGCGAATGACAGCGAAATTGGACAGAAGCACATCTTTTTCTTCTGTTTTTTTCTTGAATGTAATTGTAGTCTGTGTGAGGATGTGTGGGAAGGAAGGGGAACTGTGCACCCTGAGTTTAAACATCAGGGCTCATTGCGCTTATAAAACATTAGCAACATGGGGAAGTAATGGGATGTGCGATGTGTAAGTGCGGCCCAACTTATAGAGATTTCCTCACTGTTCAATTACACTCCCGCGAACACAAGGCTGCCTTTGAAAGTGTGCCATTTAGCAAAATATGTGTTGTGTTCCTTATGTGGTTTCCTGGCTGAGTTCCGAATTTAGGATGAGATCTGGATTTTAATCCCCTGCTCTGCCACGTATGGCGAGGTGACCTTGATAATTTCTGAGCCTGTCTCCCCATATATAAAAACAGGAACCTAGCCCTAACACTTATGGAAAGAATAAATGGAATCAGAGCACAAGAGAATCTAGCTAGTAAAAGATGGAATTATTCAAAGAAAGTTAATCTATAATGGTCAGGAAGTGTTTGGCGTTGAAAATTAATGGGAACAATGGATAGAATTTCTTGTTAAACATCAATTCAGTATAGGATTATCATGTCTGCTTGTATATTTAATTAAGCTATTAAAAATTAAAGTCTCTGGAAGATTATCATAGCTTGTAGTTAAATCTAAATGAACCATAGCATTTTAGTTGCGAAATTTAACTCCATTAAAACAACAACAACAAAAAACTTGAACATGGAGTCAGTCTCTTTTATTTTGTAATAGGAAAGAATAAAAATTAGTGTGGAATACTTAGAGAAGTGTATATTCAATTATTACTAATGTTCATGGAAAATACAAACTTAACTCCTTATTGTAAATAGTGTAGAGTTGTTTGGAGTACATTTGCAAATATTCCTATAAATGTGCCAGATGATAACGCATTTGTTTTTGTTTCTGCAGTTAAAAAATTAGTCGTGCCTTTTAAAAAGGTGAATAACAAAAATAATACATAAAGGGTTGCATATTAGGTAGCTCTGAGGGTTTTTTTGTTTGTTTGATTGATTGTTTTGTTTGTTTGTTTGTTTGTTTTGTTTGCTTTAGTTTTTACCCTTACCGTTTCTTTACCCTTCTGGAAAAAGATTCATACTGTATTAAGATGGCTTAATTACAAGTAATAGGAGCAACGTACAACTGGCCATTAAACCTATATTAGAATTAATGTTAGGATGTGTGTTTTCAAGAATCAGTTGGCTCTGGTCACATTTCACTTAAAATTATTCTTTACCTGTTTTGCACAGCCTGACCAGAGCCCCACAGAGCAGGACGACAGGACTCCTGGCAGACTCCAAGCTGTCTGGCCACCCCCAAAGACAAAAGACACAGAAGAAAAAGTGGGACTGAAGTACACTGAAGCAGGTAATGTGGGAGGAACCTGGCACCCAGGAATGAACCCCTTCCCGCAATGGCTTTTTCGTGCAAATTCAGAGAACTCTCAGAATCAGGGTTTGGTTTCATCATACATTATAATGAAGAAGGCTTCTTCTGTGTTTGCTCCTGATATTAAAGCATTACCACTCTGCACATTTACTGAGAGTGAACCTCTTAGGGATGAAAGGTTCAGTGCAATGAATGAAAGGGGGCACACATGTCAAGTAGGAGAGACTTTGGGGAACGATATGGAGCAGGTAGATTACAAATTCTTCTGGAAACAGGTGCTCGACGCACATATAATGTTTGTGTGAGCTGGCAGCATCCGTAGAAGAGGCGAGTACGAGTCCCCAGGACTGTAATCTGATGTTCTGTTTGTCTCTGAGTAATGCTTCCCAGATAAAGGAACCTTGTGTGGACTGAACATACAGATGCCATATCAGTTACTCGCTCACTTTTGTTAGACAAAGCTTCATTTAATGCACGTCCAATTTTAAGGCAATCTAACTCTCTGGAAAACGTCCCAGGAACTTAACTTCGCTCTTTTTAAATGGAATAGGACTCTAGATATTTTACTCTTTAAGTAAAAGGTTCGCATGAAAATTTTTTAAAAAATCACGTAGAACTAGACAGGGATATATTTGAATTGTATGTGTGTGTGGTAGGGGTCGGGGGTTGACTTTTATTGAAATCTCTTTCTTTCTGATATTTGGAGACTTATCTTTCATACCTGTTTGGACTGTCACTCCGAAATTTGCTTTGATTTTATTTAAATTAGAGGCTTACCTAGAAATTGGCAGGTGCTGGAAGAGGCTTTCTGAGAAACCAATCACCTCCGGTCTTTGCTGAGTTTCTGCTTAACTAAAGTCACGTGATGGAAGCAAGTGGAGAGCCCAAGTTTGTGCTGCACCTCGTCGGGCTTTTGCACAAACGCCGCTGTTTTCCATATCAACTCTGGTCAATAGCTTGGGAGATGTTCCTCTGTAGAAAAGAATCATTTACAATCTTTTTTCTGTTCTGTGAGCCCAAGGACTTTGCATTTTCCATCTTCTTTCTTCCCCATGGGACAGGGGAGTCTTCATTGCTAAATCACATGACTTCCTTCACATTTGTATCTGTTTCCATTTCACTCACATGTTAGCAGTTATTGTACTGAATCTTCAGAAGGTGAAAGCAAGCCCTTCCTTTGTATTCTTTTGTTTGTGGCTATTATTATTATTATTATTTATTATTGCTGTTGGTAGGCATGCATATCAAGTTCAGTCTACATAATTAGAGAGAAATACTTCTTTTTGGAAGTTTACTTGGTTCAGAAGGCTGTTTTGTTTTGTAGTATCAAGTGTCAGCAGTTGAGAATACACACATTGACAAAGCAGTCTGGAGGTGGTCTTTAGCCTCCACATACCCAATCACAAACTTGTGGTTTTTCTGGGACAGTAGCTACTTTATAGCATGTTATTTTTCTGTACTGCTTTTCTTTCTTTTTTAATTTATTTTTTATTGAAAAAAAATTTCCACCTCCTCCCAGCCTCCCATTTTCCTCCCCCTCCTCCCACTCCTCTCTCCCTCCCCCCACTACTTTCCCCCTCCCTCTCCAGTCCGAAGAACAGTCAGGGTTCCCTGCCCTGTGGAAAGTCCAAGGTCCTCCCCCCTCCATCCAGGTCTAGGAAGGTGAGCATCCAAACTGGCTAGGCTCCCACAAAGCCAGAACATGAAATAGGATCAAAGCCCAGTGCCATTGTCCTTGGCTTCTCATTAGCCCTCATTGTCTGCCATGTTCAGAGAGTCCGGTTTTATCCCATGCTTTTTCAGTCACAGTCCAGCTGACCTTGGTGAGCTCCCAATAGATCAGCCCCACTGTCTCAGTGGGTGGGTGCACCCCTTACGGTCCTGACTTCCTTGCTCATGTTCTCCCTCCTTCTGCTCCTCATTGGGACCTTGGGAGCTCGTTCCGGTGCTCCAATGTGGGACTCTGTCTCTATCTCCATCCAACACCAGATGAAGGTTCTATGGTGATATGCAAGATATTCATCAGTATGGCTATAGGATAGGGCCATTTCAGGTTCCCTATCCTCAGCTGCCCAAGGAACTAACTGGGGACATTGCCCTGGGCACCTGGGAGCCCCTCTAGGATCAAGTCTTTTACCAACCCTAAGATGGCTCCCTTAATTAAGACATTTGCTTTGCAAAAAATTGGGATCTTGGGGGTGGGGTGGGATGGGGGTAAGGGGAGATGGAGAGAGAAAAGTGAGAAGGGGAGGATGGGGGGAACTTGGGGAAACGGGATGATTGGGATAAAGGAAGGGTGGATAGGGGAGCAGGGAAGCACATGTACTGCTTTTCTTATGGGATGAAAAATACTTTACCTTAGTGAAAACATATACGGCCATTTCAGTTTTCCCACATACACCCAAGTTGTAATGCTATCTATGATCACAATATTGACCCACCCACCAAGTTATTTGCTTATCATGGTCCAGACAGTGATTAAATGACCTAAAATTTGCCTTAACTATTAACAAAACAAAACAGAGAATACAATGAGTCCTAATTCCTGAGTTAGAGATTTTAGTCTTGATCTAATTAGTATGTCATTGGCAGCCTTCCTAGCCATGATGAACATTTGCTGAGGAGAGAAGGAAATAAATGTCATAAGTGCTTCTTGAATCCAGTCTAGTCTAACTGTGATGCTCCTTAGTCTTTGTTTTCTGTTATTCCCCTGTCTTCCACTTCTAGAGGCTCACAGGAGCATCCATCCCAGTTAACCTTGGCAGTGGTTCCTAGTCTTTCTGACCTGTGTTCTCAGAGCCATTAAGACCTTAAATGACCTCGGGAGAAGAGGGCAGATGAAAGAGGTAATAATGATAGTTCTTTGGTTGAAGTAATGTGACAGCAGCAGGCTGGCTATGCACTCCCAGGAAGCCCTGTCAGTGGCAGTACTTTGGCACTACTCTGTTTTCGTGTTTGGCGCTTGACTGCCTGGGAACCTTCTGGTACTCATGTATTGTAGGAGATGTGGTTTCCATAGAAGAATAAGATAACCCACACATTTTGTACCTCATTGGTAATTTGAGAAAGTTAACACACACATGTGCGTGTACGTGTGCTCGTGTATGAACGCGTGCGCGCGCGTGTCCACACACACATACACACACACACACACACACACACACACACCATGCTTATCTTAAGCTCTGTTGTTGAATGAACTGAAATCTCAGAAGACTTTGGTGTGTAATCGAACCTATTTTGTGGACTCTCTATTGGTTTCCCTGCCCCTGGGAAAACAAACTGAAATACCCAGCCTCTGGGGAGTTTATAGACAGAGCTCTAATCGAAGGCAATTCAAGGTAGCTAAAGTCTTGAGCTTTTACATCTTGAGTGTATTTTATTCTCACCAGAATTAATTAGTCATTAACATAAAGAAACAAGAGAATAACCCTTCACTATTTCTATCACATGTACTGTTGGGATTCTGTACTGTTGAGAGAGATGGTCAGTCCATGTCAAATCTAGCTTTTCCATTATGAGTTCCTCCTGCTCCACTCTAGGATGGCTCCCTCAGCCACTTTATTGCTTTTTCCTAATCAGTATTCTTTTGAGAGGCTTAAGACATTACTTAATCCTATAAATTAATTTTTGTTCATGATAAGAAGGAAAGGAGCTAATATAGAAGGACCTGCAGTCTTAAATGATGGGTTCTAGGGTCTTACTAGTTTATATCAGTACTTCACAGTGATGCTCATGTCCACTGCCAACATCCTCCCTGCTGCCATTACTTAGCTCTCAGCATCCTTTGCGGCTCGGGACAGTGCAGTCACTTCTCTTGGCAGTAAATCTTTTGGGTTCTGCTGGAGCATCCACTGTTCTCAGGTGGCCTGTGCCCACATTTAGGGAATTGTTACTTCTAGTCTCTGAGCCCTAGGAACCCTGGCCATGTGCCATTTGAGAACTTTCACTTAGTGGACTTTCACAGGGGCTGAAGTTGGCCCCTACAGAGGGATTGAGTTGAAAACTCAGTGTTAGTTCATGCTGTGCCTCAAGTGCTTTGCTCCTCCCAGTCACCTCCACCATGCTTATGCTGGGCCTTCCTATGTTGTTCTTTTTAATGAGATCCTGTCTTATGTTCTGAAGGTCGCATAGTAACTTTGAACAGAGTACCTCAACCCCAGTTTTCTTGGCTTGGCCTGAGATAGTCTAGGCAACAAGCTCCATATTCCTCTTGGAATCGCTGTTCTTTCTCTCAGTACGATTCTGTGCTCTGGATGGTCTTATGTTGTTGTTAAGTGGGTTCCTCTCTCTATTCATTTCATGGTTGCCCAGACCCAAGTAATCATACAGAAACTATACTAATTACAGTACTATTTGGCTGATGGCTCAGGCATATTTCTAGCTCTTATGCCTTATGTTAACCAATTTCTATTAATCTATGTATCACCACAAGGCTGTGGCATTACCTCATTTTCTACATGCCTTGCTTCTTTGTTGGTTCACTGGCATCTTTCTCCTTCGGCAGCTCCATGACTCCGCCTACACTTTCTATATATTTCTGTTCGCATTTCCTGTCTGGCTTTATTCTGCCCTGCCATAGGCTACAGAATGGTAATAAAACATATTCACAGCATACAGAGGGAAATATCACATTATCTTCCCTTTTCTGTATAAATAAGAAGGAAGGTTTTAATTTTAACATAGTAAAATTACATATAACAAAACAGTTATCAATCAAGAATTATAGTTATAATATTTTTGTGAGTGTAAAGTTTCATATCTAGTTTATCTTTTATCATAACTAAGGAAAACTATAACTATCTGTTTTCAACTCAACCAAAGACCCCAGAAGGCTATAATATTACCTAAGTAAACAGGAAGGGCATTGTAATCAACTTCCAAAACTCTAGCATTGACAGAGACTTCTCATTGCCTGGACAGTCACCCAAAGTTCTTCTGTAACATTGGGGCATCCATCTTCAGCCTATAAGCCCATA